ATCTTTCCCCTCAACAGGCTGCTTCTTTGTTTAGTCAGAGTTGTCTGTAGTATGGGAACTTTTTCATTTAAAATGTAAAAACAAGCCAGCTATCCTGTTCCGGGTTTTTAATGCTTTCAGGATGTTTAGAAGCTATAGGGTCATCTGACTTTGATTGAAGTAGGTTTTGATCCAGAGCTGCATGATTTTTACCTTTCCTTTGTTTTTGGAAGTCAGCCAGCTGACTTTCATCTAGTGACTTCTGAGTTTTGTGTTCATAGTGTGTTCATCGTGTGTTTGGAATATAAATTAAATCAGAATATGATCATAAGCTAATTGTACAATGTTTATTCTTAACTGAAGCTGGTAGAAAGCTACAGATCTATGGAGCAGCGTCAATTAGCTTGAAGCTTGTTTTTGTCTCTTTGATCCAGATATTGGAGAAACTGTTCTGTCAAGTTAAATTCCACACTATTCACAACATTTCAGATCTCAGTGGGATCCCCCTCAAAGCATGAGATGTGGGCCGAGCGCTTATCACGGCCAGACTCGGGGTGGAAGGCAAACGGGGTGTCTTAGGGAGACTTATTTTTCACCCACAGGCAGACTCTCTCAGACCATTCATTTTCTTAATTGCATTGATGTTGGATAGTGAAATATTTCACTACTTCATCAAAGAAACGTGTTCCTTTGTCATTAAACTTGATTTTATCTTTGTCCAATTAGTCACATGTTGGTCGGTCTCAATTTTTTATAAAATTTGGATCTCTCGTTCCTTTTCATGTGTAAATGGTAACTGTGCGCTCTCTTCTTGTATGTTCTCAGCAACGGGATCCTCAGAAACGGGGTTCAGAAGACTCAAAAGTAAGACTGCTTTCAATATTTACAATGTCTTTGGTTGTGGACAACACTGTTATGAAATGGCACTGAATTTTGATTCTGGCTGCGTTATTAATCATTTTTACCTCGTCACTCAGTATAAGGGCACTGAATTAGCTGGGATGTTACTTATTAGTTTATCTCTTTGCTGAGATATTAAAGAAAATAACAGGCAGCTTTGTTTTTTTTATTTGACATGGTTTTGACAAAAAGATTATGCACTAATCTTTTTTGTTATATCTAAAAAATAAGATCAATGCAGTTATTAAACTGAAAATTAAAAAAAAACTGCTTTTCTTTGAGCAAAAAACCTTAATACTCAATTTTTTCCTTATATGATGTTTTAACTGTGTATCATTTATACTCCAAACCAACATTTTACCTACTGAAAATCTGTCTTAATCACTTTTACATTAGAGAAAGACAAAAGCAGACAGTGTTTGGGTAATGCTCCTGATACATTAAATCTGTGGAGTAACTCTCTGAGCTCTGTGTGAGGACTTTTGTTAGAGGCATCAATTGTTTGCATTGCAAAAATTTGTGGCTTATGGCATTTTCGAATCCATTCAACTGAAATCAAACCGCTTCTTTTATTTGCCAGGTTTTCGTTAGCCATAAGATAAGTCATTTCATCTCTGGGGTGTCCCTGTCTGGAAAATCCTTTCCCGTTAACACTCTACGCCTTCTTTGAAAATGGGGAAAATGCCATGTGAGACTGGCCTTGTTTTGCTTTTGCAGAAGTCCATTGTCACCTTTACCACATCAAATTTTCAGTGCCATTTAGACATTACAATGGAACCCTGTCCAACATCACAATTATGTAAGTCAGATATACGCAGGAACATAAGTTTTTCCTAAAACCAGATCCATGGACTGCATCGCCTGCTCATACTCCAGTCATGGAATGCTATTGCTATGCTATTGTCTTCCCCTTTGCATTTTTTAATTCAGATCAACAAAGAACAAAGAGGTCCTGTGCTGCAACCTGTGCTGCTCTTTGAATGTTACGGTCACACGAGAAGGTTTAGGTAGTGGCAGGATGTCGAGTTCAATTGTTTTTCTCCTTCTTTAGGTCCTTTGTTAAACTGTAGCACCACATTTGCCTCTCAAGTGTAATAAACCTATTTACATGCTTTTAAATCCGAACAATCAGAAACAGGATATAAGATGCAGTTGTCAGCCTTTCTTTTTAGTTCAACTGCAGAAGCAGAATAGAATGATCATGTTGGCTTGCTGCGTTTCCTCTGGCAGGTGATGGTAATGCAGGAGGGGTCGACCTCCCTCTTCAGCCAGCATCTCAAGCTGCCGTCGCTTCCCAACAGCTCGCTGACATCCTCTTTTTCTGACCCAAAGAAGAGCAAAAGCTTCCATGGATCAAAGGTCAGTGCGAGGTCCAGGTCACTGCTGAGCAGCGCTCTCTGCTTACTGTCCTGGCCCCACCCAGCCCTTCAGCGTCTCCAGGCCTTAATCCCCTGCATACTTGGCAGGTTAAAAAATGTCTGAGACATTTAACCTCCCAGGATTTCAAAGAGTCAGGCTCACGTGAAATATATCTTGGCTGCCACCCAGCTATAAGCACTTATCCCTGACTCGGAGACATGGCTTTTTAAAATCTAATGTCCACTGAGAAATCAGATTTGTCTGCGACATTTTAAAAGACGGTATAGTACAAGAAAGGTGAAGACATTAACAGAGGAGGGAGGGAGAGTAAAAGTGCAAGCCTTAAAAACTTTGGTTGAGATTTCAAATGTTTTCTTGGGTAGCGCAGAATGTGAAAATGTATGAGAATAAAGTGGCATATTGTTTCCATTATGTGTTATTTTTAGTCCCT